GGTATCACCTTGACGGCTCCTTGCTGACGTATACCATCGACCGATTCAATGCTCCTCGAGTGGTAGTGCCAAATGACAAAGATCTTCGTGTACGGATCATTCACGAGTATCACGACACGCCAGTTGGTGGACATTTGGGACGCGAAAAGACTTTCGCCGCGGTGTCGAGAGACTTCTACTGGCCTCACCAGTATAAATGGGTGCGCAAGTGGGTGCGCACCTGTGAAATTTGTCAACGCGTGAAGCCCTCCCCGTCTTCGAGGGCTCCCCTGCGTCCACTCCCGATTCCCACCGACGTCTGGCGTTCGGTGTCGATGGACTTTGTCTTTGGATTACCACCCGATGAGAAGGGTCGTAATGGAGTGTTGGTCTTCGTGGACAGGTTCAGCAAGATGGTACACTTCGTGCCTGTGTCTGCTGAGGTCACCGCGGAGGAGTCCGCGGTGCATTTCGTCGACGCTGTCTTCCGCCACCACGGTCTTCCCGAGTCAATTATCTCTGATCGCGATCCGCGGTTCGCAGCCGCCTTTTGGTCGAAGCTCTTCAATTTCTTGGGCACGAAGCTGATGCTGTCGACCGCGGGACATCCGGAGACGGATGGGCAAACTGAACGAGTTAACCGCGTCTTTGAAGACGTACTTCGGAGCTACGCAACCTCGTTCAAGAACTGGAGTTCATTCTTGCCCCTGGCTGAGTTTGCTGTGAATAACGCCGAGCATTCGTCGACGGGCATGACTCCTTTCTTCGTTAACTTCGCTCGCCACCCCCGCGTTCCGGCGATGCTTGCCGTGGGTCATCCCACGGAGTCCCGTGACTCCACTCTTGGTGGGGGAGAAGCTGTGGCTGCGGACACGACACCGGTCAACACGCCGGTGCCACAACGTGTATCTCCGAGTGAAACCATCGTGAACGCCGTGACGCGAGCTCAGACGAAACAGTCTCTTACATCACCGTGCGACGCGGTGTCCCCATTCGCCCAATGAACAGAACGAACCTTGATCGACCCCGCTCGTGTCTCTGAGACTCATCAGCCCGTGAATCCTCTCGCGAACTACGCGCCGAGACCCCAAGCAGTACCAGCGGATCACTCGGAGTTCGTCCTGCAACGCCAGTCGATCACTCGATTCGTACGTGATGCACTGCAGTGTGCAGTGGACAAGCAGAAAGAAAACGCAGACAAACATGGACGAAAGAATATGGCTTCATTCCACACGGGCGACCGTGTGTTATTGTCGACCGAAGGTATCCGGACTTCTGCTGTGACTAATCTCGGTGCAAACTGACTCCGCTCTTCATCGGTCCCTTTACGGTTATCAAAGCTATCGGCGACGCGTACACCCTGGACATCCCGTCGTGACTGCGCCTGCACCCGACGTTCTACGTCGGGCGGCCAAGCGCTACTACCAGGCTGAGATTCCAGACGCCAAGAACGTTACTACGGATGGGGGGGCGTGAACCGAGCGTCCTTCACGACGAGCTTGACGCGCCATCGAGCCTTCAGACCCCTGCG